GTTTCTTAGGGCTTCCAAACAGGCCATACAGATTTAACATCTCCATGCAATATCTGTTTTAGTCTGTTGCCACCTGCCTTTATCAATAAGACAACTTTGATTAGCTCTGCCTTAGGACTCAGACTAGACTTAACGGACACCTAAGCCATTGGCATCACAGCCCTTTTCTCCACTGAAGGCAGCAATGCCTGGAATGTGACAAAGAGATGAAACCTTGAAGTCTTGCCCCCGGGGCTTTGATGGTTTATGAAAGTAATATTATTTATATTATACTAGTACACTCTCTTTTTTCTTCAGAATATAATGTACATACCTCGATGAAACCTTATTTAGTTTTCATACAAATGCAAAACATGTACATGTGTATGAAGTGAATAGTTTGATTCATTTTGACTCAAAAACCAAGGCAGAGTCTTACAGTATATTCAAGGGCATTGTTAAGTGGCAACATGCCTCTCTGTCTTATTTAGAAAGGAAGGAGATAATCTACCCTCCATGCTAGCAAGGCTGCATGGTACAGGAGGGTGCTGAGTGGTGGTGAACATCTGTAAAGAGCAGAGACTGAAACAGAAAGAGTGCCACCAGATGTTGCACTTTTCTTGGCATAGGAGCATGGCAGACTTCGTCACTGAGCTATCATCCAGCTTCTGCCCACGTTGGACAAAATCCAACATGGACATGCTCACTGAAGATATGTCAGGATGTGTCATCCAAAATGTGTGTGTTAAGAAACAGATCACTACCATAAATCTATTTGATGCCTCTGGAATCTGTTTTCTTAATAGAAAATGGATGCTCAATAAGCATGTGGAGCGATGAATAGACTAAGTATCTTCCAGCAAATTTCAGACTACTGGTTTATAAACTCAACACAGGGTGTTCAAACATAGGAGACTAAAGAAGAAACACAAATTCTTCCACAGTGGGTCATGGCATTGCCAGTCATGGGCTGATAAATAGGCTATTGTATCACAGCATGATGTACATATACAATCTGCACATTGCACTATTGTATCACAGCATGATGTACATATACTGTACAATCTGCACATTGCTTTTTACTGAAGCTATTTAAGTTATTGTTTATTGCAGAAATCTATCCAGAGACTGGAACAGAAACAAACTAAAAGGAAGAGCATAATAATTGCCCTTTTCCTTTTGTTATAATGACTAATCTGTATGGGTTGCGTAAAATAATACGAATTTTCTACATGGAAATCTGTGAAAATTAATCAGGTTTTATGTGTGACAATTGCATGTACACTTATTTCAGTGAAATTGCACACATACATTTGGAAAATCTTGACCAAAACACTGCAAAGTGTAATTGTCACATATAACCTACTCATGATTACAGATTTTTGCCTACGAAGAATTACCTTGAATTTTAGACCTTTGGCATTTGAAGCAGCTCTAATACTTTCTTCAGTCTGAAATGTAAAGAAAATGTCCCACTGGTCCAAAACCCACCTCACCCAACAGATCACTATCTGAATGGATCACTCATCTTACAAAAAGGTGTGAGGTCTTGGTCTGATAAGAGAAGCAGTGTGGCAGAAGTTGTTTTGAAATCCAACTTGACAAAATCCTGGAAGATATAGCTATCAATGATAACTTGTTTCAATGGGGAAATCTAATTGTTAGACCAAACAGAGAGGCCCTGTTGATTAAATCAGTCCAAGAACTAAAGTTTACTGTACCTGGGACTAACAATTGAATACAACCTCACATCTCTTTATTACCTCTACTATCAGAGGCACTGTGCCTTAAAAATGTAGTACCCTGTCTGTCATGGGTTTGGAGGGAAAGTTCCATCCTATGGGGAGTGGAAGGCGGGACATCAGGAGGAGGGGCTGTACTGTATATATATGTGGAGCGTGTGTGAAGAGTTTAGGAGACGCTGGGATGTGACGAAGCAGCAGCTGGGAAGAAGAAGCTGGTGTGGGAGTCTGTGTGTCAGACAGGGTACTACTGTGTGTCAGAGTACCAACCTGATAGGTTCAGGTGTCTGTTGGTTAGCCAGAACTGATAGGTTCAGGGTCTGTGCTTCAAGTTAAGGGTTCTGTGTGAACCAAACTGTATGCATGTATGAATGAGACTAAGCCACGTTACCATATCTTATGCACCTGATCATTTTATTTTCCCTGTGTGTTGTTTTAAATAAACCTTATTCTTTATTTGTTTAAAAATCCATCCCTGGTCTGTGTGACTTCTTATAGGGAATGGTTGGTGGCAGCTTAGTTAACGTGTGGCAGATCCCAGTAGGTCTGGGTTTGTCACACCTGGGACTAACAATTGAATACAACCTCACATCTCTTTATTACCTCTACTATCAGAGGCACTGTGCCTTAAAAATGTTGATTGTTGGGGATCATAAACGGGAGGCTGCTACTATACTCACGTCCTGCTAGCAAGATTCTCGTAACTATCTGGATGGTTACTGAAGCAACACAATGTTGCACAAGAGAGGCTTTTGGTCTGATCCAGCTTGGTCTTAATACTTTTAGCAAAGCGACACATCATGTTAAATGTGTAACTTACATTTGTTGTTACTATAGCAGGTACTGCAGTGCATGTCTGGACTGAGAACCACAGAGAATGGAGAATTTTATCCTTTTCTCCACACTTTTAACCCAGTGATGGGTTTCCCGTACCAATCATACTCTGATACTACACTTTCCATTTGAGAAAATGAAAAAATGCATCGTCCTGACTCCATACTTTGAAACTCACAAATCTAATTCTCATACATTACATGCTCTGACCCCTTTTCGGTTTTTGCAGACTTCTATTAATTATGCTGTTTTACATTGTAAATGTGCTACTTGGATGTAATATCCATGAAGAGGATAACAGCATGATTGAAAAACTGCCTGTGTTAAATAAAGAGTTGTGTTAAATAAAAAGAGTTGTGTAGATTTCATGTAAATTATGGTTCTCCCTAGACAGGCTATCCAGATATGTTTACCAACATGAATATAGGTAAGGGTTAGAATGAAGGCTGTCTCCCTAGATTAAACCCCAGCATGAACAATAGCTAGCTCTACTGCATCTAAAAGTGATTCTGTGCCATGCCCAAGTGTCAGGTGTGTTCTGGCTCAGCGAGGTCAGCCTGGATCTATGATTATCATCTCACAGTTTTTTCAACTTCCATGGCTTCTAACTAGGAATGGATGGATCTGGTTTTGTTTCTCATTTTTCCCAACTTATAATTGTTCCATCTGTTTGAGCATCACTTTGTGATCTAAATGTAGAATGTCACACAAAAATCATAGGCATTTTTGTATATTTTTCCTAATACATGCAGTCCTTCAAGCAGTCTCCCTTAAAATAATTTCATTTTATGATTTTTCCCATGAATATATACATGTTATGTATCCATTTCTCAATATACGTATCTGTACATGTGTGTCTGCGCTCTCATTTGAACACATGCATGCGGAACTGCAACTATTGGTGAAGAAGCACCTATGTTTTTTGCATATGAGGACTGGGAGGCCCTCATAAAAAGCCTCTGAACTGGGTCAGATCAGCCCTGTTACTGGACAGTTGAGGTTTACGGTTATGTCTGCCAGTTAGGAGGCAGGCAATATCAAGAGTGGACAAAAGGTAGATCAGGATGCACTGGTAGATCTCCAGGGACTCACACCAAAGAAGAAGAGAGTTCTAACTTCCAGCAGTTTAATTAATAACAAGAACTATAAGTCAGTCTGCCAGTTTGTCTCTTTGACTGCTATAATGAAAAAAACACTGTTTGTTTGTCTCTCTGCTATAATAAACAAAACTTTGTATGTGTCAGCAGGGCAGGTGGTTTTTCTGTATGAAGACACTAAGAGTTCAGCCCTACTTATTAACAACACATTTCTGGGCTAAGCATATAATCAAAGGCATCCTTCTTTAATTCCAAGTGCATATATATACTACTGAGTCACTATACAAATATGTGGCTCTAGTTGGTGGATCTCTAGGTGTAATAAATAATAATGATAATAATAATAACAACTGGTATGTTTCAACATGAATTTGACCAAACTCCGGGAGGCAGCGGAAGACAGGAGGGCCTGGAGTGCTCTGGTCCATGGGGTCACGAAGAGTCGGACACGACTTAACGACTAAAGAACAACAACATATTTCTTAGCAGACTGGGAAGGGCTTGGTCATACCAGTTCCTCATTTGCATATCAAGTGCAAATCAATCTCTCTCTGAGGGTCATTCAGTCATACAGGGAGCCTCGTTCCAGGAATCTTCCTCTCATGCTGGGGAATCTGAGGACACTGGTGACAAGAGCATGTGCCTTGTATTCTTGAAAACTCCTCCACTGCAAAACGGTGAATTAAGATGCGAATAGTGTATCCACACACACTTTTTGAATGACACTATTCATACAGATTACCTAGAAAAGATATAACACGTATTCTTGAAAACTCCTCCACTGCAAAACTGTGAATTAAGATGTGAATAGTGTATCCACACAGAGAGAGAGAGAGCACTTTTTGAATGACACTATTCATATAGATCACCTAGAAAAGATATAACATCAGGCCACATGGGCCAGATCTATACAATCCACGGGAAGCAGCTGATCACTGATCACATGAAACCAATCAGTTCACTGAAAATCCATTCGCACAAGGCTCATTCCCAGGTAGAAGTGGTAATGCCTCAGTTAGAGTTCAGTTGTGCCTGTTCTGGGCAACTAGCAGATTAACATTCTTTCAGACTTTGTTTTTTTGGAAGACATATTTTTCTGTGTAGCCTCCTCAGAAGGGCGATACAGTTATGGTGCCCCCCCCCCTCCCTGCTTCTCAGGCTAATGATTAATTACATCAAGTTGTAACCTTCAAATTACATGAGTGGTGAATGCTACTTTAGTGGCCATAAATGGGGCAGATCCAGTGGGCCTATAGTATCTCCAAATGACATCTTTCCAGCAGAGCAAACTTGGATGTGCAACCCTGAGAGCAGCTGTTTCTGCCAGGCTGAGTATGTCTCTGTATTCTTCAGTCAGTCATTTTTGACTAGGCACCTCTTGTACTGCATTTCTGGGATGATAGCAATACATGAAGGGGGTGGACCTGAGAGAAATTGGTGTTTGAATTCAACACCTAAAGCCTCCACAATCAACTCCCCATTCAGGATCAGGAAGCTGGTGAGTCTCCAAAATGGGGAACAAGATAGAAAGGCAGGAACGTGCTGTTGTCTTGCCATCTGCCTGTGCCAGAAAGAAAGACTTCACGCTGAGTCTGTTATTTCAGCAGAACACAGAAGAAGAGCACAGAGTTCTTCACTGGCCTTTTGCTGCAGGCTAAGCCAGCCCCAGCACTAAATTATTTCTTTTTTCAGGCACTTTGGTTTGCGATAAATCACCCAGCCTATGAAAAGCAGAGACACCACCATAATGGAGCAGATGGCCATGAGGCTAACGTAGCTAGCATGGGACAGGGGACGTATATACGGCTGTTCTGCTGGGATCATGTTTGTGAGATTCAGCATATAGCCCAGAGCCCATCCAGCATCACTGTTATGAACCTGAAACAAAAAGGGAAGGAAAAAAGAAGAGTCACTCACAACAGGAAAGATGTGAAATATTTCAAAAGGAAGTGAGAAACTGTCTCAGAGTCAAATTAGACAGTAAAGGAAATGCATATTCTCAGCATTTAAATGCATATTATCAGCAATTAACCCATTGTCCTTCAGAGCATGAGACTTTCTAAGAAATGTATGCTCCAGAAATCATCACAATTTGAGGAAACAATTCCTTCCACATTGAAGACAAATACAATCTGTCCCTTGTCCAGCTCTCTAACCTCCAGAAATCATCACAATTTGAGGAAACATCACTTCCAAATATGTGTTAATCATGTTATCTAGTTTATGTACACAATTTCTTTTAAAACCTAAATGGTGGACCTATGGTACCTCAGGAATTTCCTCCTTCCTTTCAGTGTGCCAGTTCCTATGATCACAAAAATAGTCTCCCTTTGTGATTAACTTAAAGGTTCAAGCACTGCTGATAGTGACCAAAGAGACAGTACAGTAATGGCTGCACAAATACTGCAGAAAACCTTGCCTGGCAGGTGTGTAGGCATCCTTCAGTCTCAAGAGACTATGGTAACATGCTCTGTATAGAGGTCTTGGAACAGCGTCTAGTGTGGCTGAGAAAGCCAATTTGAGAGAGACAATTCCTTCCACGTTGAAGACAAATACAATCTGTCCCTTGTCCAGCTCTCTGATTGTGCTGGTTTTGGGACAGCCTCTTTGCCTCGGCCTGCTGGATAAGGGTCTCTTCAAATTGGGAGAGGCCATGCTGCACCGCCTGCCTCCAGGCTGAGTGCTCAGATGTCAAGGTTTCCCATCCGTTGAGGTCCATTCCTAAGGTCTTCAGATCCCGCTTTATTTATTTATTTATTTAGCAGATACTGTATCCTTGTAGTGCAGCTGTGGTCTCCCTCTGGGGCACTTTCCCTGCACTAATTCTCCATACAGGAGATCTTTGGAATCCGACAGCCATTATCACGACATGCCCAAGCCAATGTAGATGTCTCTGTTTCAGGAAAGTATACATGCTAAAAAATTCCAGCTTATTCTAGGACTACTCTATTTGGAACTTTGTCCTGCCAGGTGATCCCAAAAATGCATTGGAGACAACGCATATGGAACATGTTCAATGTCCTCTCCTGACGTGCACAGAGGGTCTGGGACTCACTGCAGTACAGGAATGTATTCAGGACACAGGCTCCATAGACCTGGATTTTGTTATATGCCGTCAGCTTCTTATTAAGTCATACTTTCTTTGTGAGTCTAGAGAACATGGTAGCTGCTTTGCCAATGTGTTTATCCAGCTCGACATCTAGAGAGAGAGTGTCAGAGATCATTGAGCCAAGGTACACGAAATCATGAACAACCTCCAGTTCTTGTGTAGAGATGGTAATAGAGGGAGGAAGTACCACATGCATTTCAGCTGGACTTTGGTCTTCACTCTCAATCCCAAGATCTCCCATCCCTTGAGGTGGGAATCAAGGTGAGACATCCACACACAAATAGCTGCCTGTCCTGTAGGGGATAAAGGGAGGCATTTTCCCACCCCTTACTACATACAGGAAGAGATGATGACAGTAATAAAAAAGACAATATCCCTTTCCCCACTCCAGGGCACTGCAGAAAAGAAGGGAGCAACACTGCCTTCTCAAGACTAAGATGGGGAACGGTAGCTGGAGAAGGAAGAAAGATGAGTGGCGGAGGCAGCAATGGCAGTCAGTGGCAGCAAAGACCACGGTGATGTCTCTTCCTCCAACTAGATGCTTAGGTAGACACATGCCTCCTGCCAAAAGCTGGTTCTACACAGAGCCGTTGGTTTCTTCAGATCCAAGCTTTGAGGGGTCCTCCATGGGCTGAAAGCACTATGGGGAGGGCAATTCGATTACAAAAATTGCCTGTTGGGACACTCAAAGAGTCGAATCTCCTAATCACCCCCTCTCCAAAGCGCCTTGCATCCAAGGAGTTGCTCTCACAGCCTGGCACAGAGGAAGTCACCTGCTCTGTGTACAGCAGGCTCTGGCAGGAGGTACTCAGCCACTTAAGCTTCCTCCTTCCCTCTGGAAGGAGGCAATGTCCACAGGCGGCCTTAGCCACTGTTACCTGTCACTGTCACCACTACCTTTTGTCTTTTCTTCAGAGTAAGGCACCTTGTCCTTTTCTCCTTCTCATTATTAGTCAGGATGGAGCAGATCTGAATGTGAGGAGAAGGGAGCAGCACTACCACGCCAGTGGCAACAAAGATGGAGACAAGTGGCATGGTGGGCAGTCATGGACGTTCTTATCCTCCTGTTCCTGCTCTCTGCTTTTGTCTCCCTTCTCATCACATCTAGGTCTGCTAAGAGCCTTTCAGGGTAGCGATGCTGAAGGGAGCGGGGTACTGGCATATTTGCCACCCCCAGAGTTCCATGCCTAAAGCAACCACCTCACCAAGCCTCACGGCACGTCTGGCCCTATTGGCTTGTGAAGTGCATATAATCCTTTTTCCAGATGCCTTTCACTTATTGGCAAAAACACGTCTTACTCCAGCAAGCCTTTGCCTGTTAAATATTTGTTCAAGGTTGCTCTACCTATAGTTTCTTTCTCTCTCTTTCTCTCTCTCTGTATGTGTGTGTGTTTAACTAAATGTAACATTCAGTGTCATATTGTCATTCTAAATGAGCCACTGTGAATGGCGCAGAAGCAAATAAATAAATAAATAAATAAATAAATAAATAAATAAATAAATAAATAAATAAATAAATAAATAAATAAATAAATAAATAAAAAAAAAGCCAGGATAGAAATGTCTATATAAAGAAAGAATAAAATAATCATGGTTCCTGTCTCTGCATTTCTAATTACCTTCGCCAGGAATTTGATGTTCTTCCATTTCTCATTTGTGAAATTGTATCGCTGGACAAGCAGTGAGATAATGTAAGTACCTGCAAAGCAGTACTCACTCAAATATTTCTCCTTTACCTTAGGAAAATCAGCTTTCACCTAGAAAGAATGAAAGAAACCAAGTTTATATCTAGGTTTGCCTTTCCCGATTCTCTGGGATTGAGACACTCAACATTCCACATTAATATTAGTCATTAAGGCCACCACAATCTATCAAGATATAGGTGCCTTCCATCAGTCAAGCATTTCCAGAGGAATAACCCTGGAAATTCTGTAGCCTGTTGCATTAAACCCACCATAGAGTTGTGCAGCATCTTAAGAACTAACATTTTTCATTTTGCATAAGCTTTGGAGAGCTGCAGTCAATAAAACCTTATGCTATATAATATTTGCTAGTTTTTAAAGTAGCACAAGACTCTTGTTGGTTTTGGTGCAGAAAAAAAAGACACCATGATAACATGTATAGCAGATCCTGTGTTAGGGTCAGTTTGGGAGTTTCCTTTCGTGACCAACTTGATTTTGGACTGAGAGGAGGGATGGGCAAAATGTGGTCTCTTCAGCTACTGAGACCACTTATTCCCCCACAGCATCCCAGGACCTGCTAGCCACCACCCCATTAAAAAACAAAATACTCAAAAAGTCCCCTTGTCCCCTCCAGAGGGTGTGGGATAATTCTGCTATGTTTAGAGGGGGCCCTACATTATGGGGGCTCTCTTCTCCCCAATTTTTATTTCAAAAGAAAATTGGGCTAGAGGGCACCAGCAGATTCTTCAGTTTAAAAGACCTTTAACCCTTCCATTATACAATTACAGCACTGTTGTTGTTGTTGTTGTTTTAAAAAATTTAATCTGCAAATTTTATAAGGGAGTGCAGTCTTTGGGCAGCCAGTAAATCTGAAAAAAAAAATGGCCCTCAGTCCTGCTGAGATTGTCCATCTTTGTTTTACAGCATCAAGCAACACACACACACACACACACAGAGAGAGAGAGAGAGAGAGAGAGAGAGAGAGAGAGAGAGCAGTACTGGGGCCTGCTGGAAGTCACCCATGTCTAGAGCCAAGGTGCATCCTCCCTCTGGAATGGAAAAACAACATACCTCAACCCAGGATTTAGAGCAGAAGGCCTTCATGGTCTCCACCACTTTGTCCAGAGGTTCTTTTGTTATGTTCAGAAAGTTCATTACATAGTAGAAAGCAGAAAATGCCTAAAGAGCAAGAGACGTGAACTTGTTTTCAGAAAATCATAGATGAACAGGAACCCGAGATCTCTCCATGCAATCGTCCACACTATTATCTACAGACAATAAAAATTAGATTATTGTCTACAGACAATAAAATCCTACCATAACTAATCAGGTTCATCTGCGCCTCTTATATACATGATACTGCAGCTTGAAAAAATTACAGGACCCATGCTGGCCACAGAATTTTCAGAAATGTTGTCCAAATAAGTAACTTTTCCAACACATGTAGCCCAGCCATAAAATTGTTTTAGGATCGCCATTTCTAGCCACTTTAGCATGTACACCACCTGGAGTGGTATAGAAATCCAACAAATAAATAAATAAACCTCACTTTCACCAGACATTTAAAACACTTTTCCTTTAACATATTAACATCTAGTTTTATAGATGCAACATCTTATATTCCTATTTTTAAGGATTGGCTATACAGTACTGTATGTTTCATGGTGTTACTTTTAAAAATTATCTGTTAATTGCACTTGAACCTTTATCATCAGATTACATGGTTTTATGCTTATACTGTACATTGGTCTGAGTGCATTTAATAGAAGAGCAGGTACTGTATGTTTCATGGTGTTACTTTTAAAAATTATCTGTTAATTGCACTTGAACCTTTATCATCAGATTACATGGTTTTATGCTTATACTGTCTGAGTGCATTTAATAGAACAGCAGAATATAAATAATAACTTATCAAGCAGCAATTCCTTAGTTAAAGCAACAAAACATTTGGAAAAATTATCCTTGTGGAATACAGCCCCCAGAAACTCCCATCAGTAATGTCTGCAATAGCATTTCCAAGAAACATATTAAGCCTCTGGACATTCTGATGGAATTGTGCTTGAAAAGGTATTCTCCCCGATGGTGTACCTATGCTATTTTATCATGCATGAAGAAAAAGAGCATTTCAAATACACAGGAACAGCCCATCAAGGAAAGTGTCAACTGTGGTTAAACTGCAGTATTGCAGTCAAGACTCTGCTCATGACCTGAGTTTGATCCTGATGGGTTCAGCCAGCTCAAGGTTGACTCGGCCTTCCAACCTTCTGAGGTCGGTAAATCAAGTCTCAGCTTTTGGGGGAGGGACACTGCATAGCATGCATAATTAAATTGTAAACTGCCTAGAGAGTGCTTTAAGTACTATGGCGCGTTATATAAGTAGCAGCACATTTCTGCTACTTATTTTTTAAATCAGCAAAAGCATTAGCAAAAACCCAGGATTTCTGTGCAAAAGAACATGTGTTTTTCTTCTAGTAGTTTTTCCCCAAGTGCTGAGATGAGAAAAGCAGACATAAATGATGCCCAGAAAAACCAGCAGTTTTTCATTTTCAGTTATGACAGCAATGTAAGCAAAGATTTATCTCCCTGTTCTATGTAGGCTGGCCATTCACTGCATTCTCTGAATACTAATAAAACCAATTAACTCTTAGTAAAAGGTAAAATTTATTACTGCTCTGTATAGTAAGTGTAGCTGGTTGGATTAGCTCAGTGAGCCAGTGCACCTGGATTGGGAGTTTGATTCCCAACTGTGCCTTGTAGAAGAAGAGGAAGCCTGTGTAGCTATGGGCAAGCTATAACGTCTAGAGCATCCCTGGAGGAAACAGTGAGCCACTTCTGAGTACCTGGTATATAGGAAATCTTGAAAAGGCTTGTCATAAATTGGAATTGACTTGATAGGACATATTATTATTCTGGCTGGAGGAAACAGTGAGCCACTTCTGAGTACTCAGTATATAGGAAATCTTGAAAAGGCTTGCCATAAATTGGAATTGACTTGATACCTGTAGCATATATTATTATTCTGGTTAAGTATAGTCCTGTTGGAGGGACGTGGTGGCGCTGCGGGCTAAACCACAGAAGCCTCTGGTGCTGCAGGGTCAGAAGACCAGCAGTTGTAAGATCGAATCCACGCTTGTCCCAGCTCCTGCCAACCTAGCGGTTCAAAAGCATGCAAATGCGAGTAGATAAATAAGGACCACCTTGGTGGGAAGGTAAGAGCGTTCCGTGTCTAAGTCGCACTGGCCATGTGACCACAGAAGATTGTTTTCGGATGAACGCTGGCTCTATGGCTTGGAAGCGGGGATGAGCACCGCCCCCTAGAGTCGAACACGACTGGACTAAAATTGTCAAGGAGAACCTTTACCTTTACCTATAGTCCTGTTGGACTTTGCCACCTAGTGGTGAACAAATACCCCTTCATGGATTGCTGCCTTGTCGTGGCAAAGGGGCTTGAGTAACTCAGAGAAGCTATGGGCTATGTCGTGCAGGGCCACCCAGGATGGACAGGACATAATGGAGAGTTTTGACTAAACGCAATCCACCTGGAGTAGGAATTGGCAATGCCACTCCAGTATCTTTGCCAAGAATGCCCCATGATCAGAAACAAAAGGCTAAAAGATATGACTTTGGAAGATGGGCCCCTCAGGTCGAAAGGCGTCCAACATGCTACTGAGGAAGAGCAGAGGACAAGTACAAGTAGCTCCAGAGCTAATGAATTGGTTGGGCCAAAGCTGAAAGGACACTCAGCTGTGGACGTGCCTGAAAGTGAAAGGAAAGTCCAATCCTGCAAAGAAAAATACTGCATAGGAACCTGGATTATAAGATCTATGAACCTTGGGAAGCTGGAGGTGGTCAAACAGAAGATGACAAGAATAAACATTGACATCCTGGGCATCAGTGAACTAAACGGACAGGAATGGGCGAATTCAACTCAGATTATTACCATACCTACTATTTTGGGCAAGAATCCCGTATAAGGAATGGAGTAGCCCTCATAGTCAACAAAAGAGCAGGAAAAGCTATAATGGAATATAATCTCAAAAATGATAGAATGATGTCAATATGAATCCAAGGCAGACCTTTCAACATCACAATAATCCACGTTTATGCACCAACCACCATTGCTGAGGAGACTGAAATTGAACAATTTTATGAAGATTTACAACACCTCCTAGAACTGACACCAAAGAAAGACGTTCTTCTCATTCTAGGGGACTAGAATGCTAAAGTAGGGAGTCAAGAGATAA